TCTCTCTCTCTCTCTCTCTCTCTCTCTCTCTCTCTCTCTCTCTCTCTCTCTCTCTCTCTCTCTCTCTCTCTCTCTCTCGCTCGCTCGCTATCCCGCTATCCTTCCCGGCTATCACGCTTCCCTTCTCTCTTTCTCTCTCACAGCTCTCTTTCTCACACACACACACACATGCACACACAGAGTGAGGGGCCAAAACGCAAAGATGACATGGGCAACTAGGGGCAAAACGAGATACAAAGGGCCTGGTGAGAGTTGGCAAGTACGGAGACAGTTTGCAAACATGGATAGTACCCGATAGGGGTATTTTGCAAAGATGACAGGTCCAACCCACGCAAGGGGCATTTCGCAAAACACTTTTTGTGTCGGAGGGGTATTCCGCTCTACCCACATCTTTTAGGGGCATTTTAGTATATATCTCAACTTATAGTGGTATTTCGCAAATTATCCCGTTTATAATTTTTGCTTCATTTGTTTGGTCATGAAACGGTCGCTACCACCCACCTGTCCCCCGCCGTCCCACGCCCGTCGCACAAACCCAAATACATCAGCAGTGCGATCTCCTTCCAGTCGGTGAAAGTCCGACGAAACAGTCTGGCACAGTCGTGCTATTTTCCGTGGAGTTGTGTATGGCGAACATGACAACACACACCAGTCACAGATACACACGCAACCTCCTGATGAACAGTCTGGCACAGCCATGCTTTTTTTTTTTTTTGTGGAGTTTCGTATAGCGGAAATGACAACACACACAGACTCTACATTTGGGGCTACATTTGGGGCGCGGTCCATTGTTGGTCTCTGTACCGTGAAGGGTGGACGCTGAGGCTGGGGCTGTGCATTGCGCGGAGGCGTAGCAAGGACTTGTGTCGACTGGACTGAGTACGCGCGACAGGACGATGGGAGATTCAGGTTAGTGCATTTCGTCTCCCACCACCACCACCACCACTACTAATACTAATACTCCTGCTACTACTACTACTACTACTACTACTACTACTACTACTATTTCTACTACCACTACTACTACTACGATGACGACGACGAAGACGGTGATGGCGACGACTACTACGAAGACTACTTATACTACTACGACCATCGTCCTCGACGACTGCTACTGCTGCTGCTGCTACTGCTGCTATTAGTACTACTACTACTACTACCACTACTACTACTACTACTACTACTACTACTACTACTACTACTACTACTACTACTACTACATACCCCC